TTTATTAAATCAACTGAGTAGTTGGAAAAAAGTTCTTTGCAAACTTTTGGGTGCAATCACCCTTCTTCAGGCATAGGAAGTTTCTGCTGTTCTTAGACTCCAAGGAATGAGTCTGCAATTCCTTAGTGTGCCTGCATTTCATTATCTTTGAATAACAAGTGGAGTACCTTACCTTCAGTAGTTTCATGAGGCCTTCTAACTGAACCATCAGCTCTCTCCGGCTTTCCTGGAGAGCAGACATTCTCTGTTCCAGCTCATCCTTCCGCTGTCTGAAAAATAAACATCTAGGATCAGAGCTTATTCTTCAAAAGAATTAACTTTACACTTTCCCAGCTAGAGTTTCTCACTACTACTGTCAACATGAAGTGACTAAAGGCAACAGAGCATATTTCATGAACTCTATATAATGTCCAGATAATAGGGCTGAGAAACCAGGATGCTCCTTCAGATTAAGAATATATAGTGGGGTAAGCATGCTGCTTATGGAAAAAATAGTACTGGCACAAACCTGTCCCTAAAACACCAAGGGCCAAATTATATTCTACCTATTAGGTACATAAGTGGATGTTTATGTGTGATTCTCTTCCACCCTGCTTGAGTCCTTAAAAACCAGTTAATGCAAAAAAGGTGAGTGGGTCGTCCTTGTTGCTTAATCTTAAGGGTGAGATGATAGCATGTACAAAAGTAAAGCATTAATAGATAGAACAGAATTGCACTTATTGACATCTGAGTTCACTTAGTCATCCAGTAGATGGAACAAGATCCCCAAATGGGCCTGAATCTTTAAAATTCACACAAGTTTGGTTGTATAGTGACATAATAGGAAGAAATGCCAGTCTGTGATCTGTTGTTTTTGTTTTAGAATTTCCCTGGTCAATACACTGATTAAATTGTCACAAGAAATTAAAGGATACCTTACAGGAAAGGGCTGGAAGGGGAACTGACTCTGAGTGAAGAAAGGCAAAGAGAATTAAGAAAATCAGCCAGCACATCTGAGTGTTGGGGATTTTCAGAGGCTGGAGGTATGCTGTCAATTGGAAATGTTTGAAAATAGCTCTTGGAACTGCAGGCCTGATTGCTGCCCCATTTGTAACCCAGTAAATTCTGAACCTCAGGGAGGTTACTTCAGATTTACACATGTGTAAATGGCAACAGATTTTTGCTTCTGTATAACCTATGATAATCAGTGCAGGAGATATGTGGTGCAATTCTGCCTTCACTTACTTAACTTCAGCTCCCACTAAACTGCCACTAAAGACTGTCAAAGTTGGGCCAGATCAGGCTTCTGGACTACAGTCAGTTCTTTGGGGAGGTCTCTTCCATAAATAACCTGCAGCTACTAGTGCATAAAAATGATGATGTCATTTTCAGTTTTGCTTTAGAGCCACATTTTAGATTAAGTGATATTTATACAGTAAAACCTCATTAATTCAAAACACAGGGACCAAAATATACCAACTTTGAAATAAACAGGTTGAATTATCCAAATTATAGTACTACAGTACACTGAATTTATTATATGAAACCACTGTGTACAGTAACTGCATAATCTTTCTCATGGTTTCTTAAAGAAAATGTCTATTGTAGCCTTCTTGACCATGGCCTCATATTGGTCATGGACAAATTCACTGATTTTTTTCCCCATGGCTTTCATTAATCCCTCATCCATGGCAGTAGCATTGTCTTTCAGTATGGAATCTAGGACTGCAAGCACCACATATGCCTCCTTCCATGTGTTCGCTCAGACTCTGGCTCCTTGTTTTCTTCTGCCTCTTTGGTTTTTTCTGTGTATTCCTCCACAGGGGTGTCTTGACTTACTCTTTTACCATGGCTTTCTGCAAAAGCTGACACCTTATTATCAACATTGATGAACTCCTGGAAATTGGATTTCCTGGTAGCAAATAAAACCCCTGAAAAAAAAGGGGACATAAAGCATGCCAAAGTGCTATGTGCCGGGACAAGCATGAAGACGGAGGAGCAGGTAGCCCAGGGCTGCCTGCTCCCCTATCTCTGCGCATTGTAGAGCCCCTGCGCTGAGGTACCCTGCACCCTATCCAGCTGTGAAGCAGCAGGCTGGGGCACAGTGTGCCTTGAGATAGGGAAGCATGCAGCCCTAGGCTGCCTGTTGCCTGTTGCCTTTGCATGCATGAGTCAGCAAGGGGACTCCACTGCAGAGTTGCTGGCTAGCCCCATGCCGAGACATCCTGTGCCCCAGTCAGTCCCCCTGCAGCACATGGAACAGCAGGACAATGTGTGCAGGGGCATGCTCTGCAGCATGAAGTAGCAGCACATATTTGTGCTGCTACTATTTGTTCTGCTGCAAACGCATGCCCCTGCTCGTGTGGACATGATCCTTCAGCTTTTTTTCTCCAGATCATGAGGAATATCACTTGCTGAGAGATCTCTAAAGTACATCAGTCATAAAAAAAAGTAGCTCTATTCCCAGCTAATTTGTCTTAAGAATACAGGCAGCCCCCACTTAACATGGTTTCGCTTAGCGCGGTTTCGTTGTAGCGCTAATTTAAAATACAGGCAGTCCTCAACTTACAACGTTTCAAGTTATGTTTCACAATTACAACATTCATAAATTGACACTGTTTCAACTTTATGATGTCAGTTTCGACTTTACAATGTTTGATCCAATGCAACGCCACACCAGCGAACAAGTTTGTTGCATCGCTCATCTCCCTGGAGAACATCTGTCCAAACT